TCGGAGTCCGGCTCGTAGGTCTCTACGAAGTCGTCAACAACCTCGCAGAAGTCCTCGTCGTAGACGTCCGGGTGTGGGGAAAACTGGTCTTCCAGCGAGTCTGCGAAGGTCTCTGCACGGTCTTCGGGCGAGTAGACGAGCCCGCGTCCCCCATGCAGCGGCCTGTTGTGGGTCTTCGTGCCGCGCAGAGCCTTAGCGATCTTCCAGATCCCGTCGTTGGTGTCAGCTTGTCCCTCGACGAAGTCCTCCCACTCCTGGGACCGATGCTCAGCCAGCAGTCGGGAGCACCTCCTGGCCTGCAGGTTGAAGTCCGCCTTCGCTCGAGGGCAGCGGGACTGTTGGTACGCCCTCCTCAGGCGCGAGCCGGGGTCTCCTTATTTCGTCATCGAGGGTTCGCAGGGCGATCTCCTCCCGCAGCCCCTGGGGAAGTGGTGGGGGGGCCCTCGGGTCAACGTCAGAGCTGGCGGCAACCACAGTGTCCTGCAGCAGCGTTGACAGGTCCAGGACTTGCTGGTCGAGCTCCTCTGCCGTCTCAGGTGGCGGGGGAGGCGGTCGAGGGGCGTTGGCCAGGAGGTTGGCGAACTTCGCCCAGTTCACCCTCTTCCTGCGGACCGGTGGGCGGTCGGGGACTCCTCCCTGTGGCAGATCGAAGATCACCGGGACGTGGTCAGAAGAGAGGTCGGAGACGACGAAGACTTCAATCGGGCCATCGAACGAGCCAGCCAGTCCGATGTCCAGGATGTCGGGCGGGTGTCCAGCACGGGGGTAGTGTGTGGGGTCGGCCGGGGCAACCACGTTGATGTGAGGGTGGGCGGTGAGGTAGCGCCTGAGAGCAGCTCCAGTGAAGTTTCCTCTCCTGCAACCCCAGTCCAGGTGTTTGGCATTGAGGTCGCCTGCCAGAAGCGCCGGGGTGTCGGGGGGCAGCAGTTGGTCCAGGAGTCCGGGATCAAGGCGTCTCCCTGGGGGGTTGTAGGCAGAGGAGATTTCCAGCTCTGCACCGTCGTGCTGGAGGGCGATGGTCGTCACCTCGATGCCAGGCGGGAGGTTCCTGACGATCGGTCTGTGGGTGACCCGACGATGAACCAGCATCGCCGAGCCACCACTGGGACGTTGTTGCAGAGGCCTGTCTGTCCGGTGAGTGTAGTAGTTCCGGACGTTGAACCTGTCCCCACCGCGCAGATGCGTCTCCTGGATGAGGGCAACGTCAACGTCCATGTCAGTGAGGAGTTGTGTCAGCTCATGGCGTCTGTCGGCAAGCCCGTCGGCGTTCCACGTGAGGATGCGAAGTCTACGCATGATGTTGGGTCAACTGGTCAACAAGTCGCTCGACGACGACCAACATGCTCCTCAGCGTGGAGATGAGTTGAGCCAGCTCAGACTGCTGCGACGGGCTCTTGGACGACTGGGCCGGGGTTGAGGCCGGCTCGATAGGCTGGGCAGGGCGGCTGGGCTGCGGGGCAGGGCTGCTGGGCTGCGGGGCTGGGCTGCTGGGCTGCGGGGCTGGGCTGCTGGGCTGCCGGGCAGGGCCGCTGGGCTGGCGAGGAGGGACTTCCAGGCGAGGGCGGGGAGTTCGCCTTACTCGAGGGTTCGGGGTCTCAGCCGGGGCGGCGGACCGCTCCACAGGAGGGGTGGGTGTTCGGGGTCTCGGGCCGGGAGCTCTGCCGCGGTTGTCCGGGTTCCGAGGAGCTCGACGACGTCTTCTCCGCTGAGTCCGGAAACCCTCGTCATCGACCTCGGGAGCCCCAGGCGCCTCTTCGTCCACTGGGTCAGGTCTCGGAGCCGGTAGGTCGACCCGGCGCGGTTGACGGCCCGACGGTGCCGTGGACGATTTCGCCGCAGCCGCGTACGAAGCCCGTTGCAGATTCTTGTAGCAAGTGCAGCCCCTGTAGTTGGCAGTGTGGGCCTCACCACAGTTGCAGCACTTCGCCTGGGCTGCTGGCTCCTTGGGGCACTCGGTCGCTGGATGGGTGCCACCGCAGCGGACACAGCGGACCTGGCGGTGGCACTGGCCCGATCCGTGGCCGAAGCCCTGGCAACGGTGGCATTGAATGGGTCCGTTGGGCCGCTTGTACTGCCGTACTTCCACCTTGCAGTAAAAGGCTCGCCTTATTTCATAAACAGTGGACGGCAGGGAGTATCCTTCCGTCCTGCGGATCGTGAGGAGCCAGAGACCAGTCGGCATTCCTCGGCGAGTCTTCATCATTTTCACTTCGGATATGTCGAAGTCGTGAAATTCCGCCATAATCTCATCTGGTGCTAGCGTCGGCGGCAGGCCCTTTACCACCACCTTGAGCAGCCGCTCAGTGCGTAGGGCGAAGGTGTGGAACGGTACTCGCTCTTGCTGCAGATACCGCTGGACTGCGCGGAAGTGGGGTACAGTGTCCACCCTGATCCGCAGATTCTTCCCCGTGCATGAGGCATCGAATTGGCCACCAACCAGTTGTCCGATGGCGACGGCGTGGGCAGGCCAGCTCCGCGGCATGTCCAGGAGGATAGGCGGAGGCCGTGGCTCGTTCCGCGTCGGGGCCGGATCATCCTCCATGTCCGAGTCAGCGGTGATCTGGAAGGTGTCTTGACCGGTTTTGCGGGCCTTCCGCTCGGCAGGAGGAGTCGGAGACGCTCGCCTCTTGTTGGTGGTCTGGTGGCCTTGACAAACGCCGTTTTCTCCAGACGACGGGCAGGGGTTCGCCTGGCAACTGTTCCCCTCGCCGCCAGTGAAGACGAACGGGCCTCCACCAGGGGTGGCAGTGGCGCACCGTTGGTCGACACCCGCTCGGGTCACCGCAGCAGCGGTCTTCCCCCAGTCCGGAGGGGTCCCAGAAGTTCCGCCTGTATCTTCTTCTTCCATCATGTAGTCTAGAAGTTCAAACTATTGCTGCTCTCCGAGGTGTTGCTCCTACGAAGGTTGGCGATCGAATGTTGGAATGATGGCTAATTTGAATAATGTTTCTTAATAGCAGTTGGTTGTGTATAAGGCTGTGTATGAGTCAGAGGTTCACGGGTTCGATCCTTACCAGTCACATTTACAGTATGCTGAGTTTTATTTACATATACCTATATACTACAGTCCATAACAATAACAAAGCAAATTATAATTCCCATATCCATTGTTTAACCGACTGGAAAAAGGCTTAAGCAGAACTTTACTATAGAGAACAAAAATGGCCTTTCTAAAGGCCACCAATTGTTGAACATATAATAAACATTTCATAGATATTATGTATTGTTGGAATGATGGTTAATCTGAATAATGTTTCTTCCTAGCAGTTGGTTGTGTATAAGACTGTGTATGAGCCAGAGGTTCACAGGTTCGATTCTTACCAATTACCAAACGTTTCATTTCCAGTCGGGGTAATGTGTTGATTTTTAGTATGGTGTTGTATCATAGTAGGAGTAGCATAAGTCGTTGATCTAAGAGGTTCACTGGTTCAATCCTTACCAAATCACATTTAAAATATTTGCTGGGGGAAGTGAGGTTATGTTATTTGGCGGGAAAAATAAAAAGTGAGGTTAGAACACATGTGAGGTTAGAACACATGTGAGGTTAGACCACGTGGAAATTCTAGGGCACGGCTTAAGGAAAATACTGCTCTCTGATTGGCCTAGAGGAAATGCTGCTCTCTGATTGGCCTAGAGGGAATGCTGCTCTCTGATTGGCTAGGGGGCGTGGCCTAGGGGGAATGCTACTCTCTGATTGGCTGATGGGCGTGGCCTAGGGGAGGGGTGGGGATGAAATGCTGCTCTCTGATTGGGGGCCCCAAGTACAGCGTACCCTACTCATTCTGTACTGGACAGTTTATTTTGTAATATGTAAAAATGGAAGTGGATAGCGACTCTGATTTTGCGAATTTTATATCATTGTGTTAACATGTGTTTAGTTCCATTAAAAACTGTGTATGTTAATTCCAAGAAAAACAATTAATACGTGAAAATCTTGATTGTGATGTGTTGTCAACATCTAAAATATTGTAAAATATCAAAAACAAAAAAAATTAAGCGAAATAAACAAAATTGTTTATTTAGCTTATTTTTTAACACATCCTAATAAAAGTTGGTACAGTATATGGGTTCTCCTAATCGAGAAGTATTGCATAATGGTATAAAATATCCTTTTTTTCATTTTTAATGATAGAAAACAAGCATACCCACTTTCCTACGTTGTAACCCACCAGTTGTTGTAGTGGTTTCATTTGGTTATAGATTATCCAGTGATTTGAAGTTACGGTAGGTTATTTTTTATAGTTTATACAGTTGTTATTTGTAGTTATTTTGTTATAGTTTGTTCGGCCGTTATAGATATTTTATTTGGTTATTGTTTATTCAGTGAATACAAGTGAAAATGTTTGTTAGTTAAAATTCAGTTTGTTTATCCTAATATTTAATCAAGTGAATTGAAGCTTCAATTTATTATTTCGCAAAAAATAGTCGATTTAGTTAAAAACATGTGTTATTATTATAACTGTTCAGCAATTAATTGCTGTAATCAATATAATCGATATTGTTACATCTGAAGAGACCGTATTTAGGCATTTGATAAAGGGAGGGTGGCGTTTATGATGATTCGTGACTTCATTAAGTTCTTTGAAGTTAGATTAGATTAGCTTAAGAGAAAGTTTAGGTTATAGTTAACCGTTTTATTACATACATCGCTTTAACGCCATTACAACGTTACTAGATTGGATTCTATATTCATTAAAATGTGCCTATTGAAGAATATATAATGAAGGTTAATTAATCAACATAATTATGATGCAATCCAATCAACGTTTAGTGATCAAAATATCGACTGATAATCGACAATTTCACTGTAGGGTAGCCCAGTTAAAAAACTGTACCCTATAGATTTACATGACATAAAAAACCAAGTATACTGAAAATATGTGTGAAATACGTTACATGACCCATTGCATTCTCATACACACGCGCGCGCGCATGCTCGTCAGGCCGCGTTGGCGCGTCAAGCGCTGTCTGAAGCAGTCTTCGTTCGTCTGTAGGTGCGTCACAACGGTAATTTCTATGTCAATCTGTGCTTCGCGTTCGTTATGGTCGTGAAAAACTTTAAAAGTTCATAATAATTGAATTTTTCAAATTTTGTGGATATTTTTTCAAGGTGAGTACAGTGGCATTTAATTTAATAAAAATGGCTAAAGTAGTTTTTTGATATTTTAAAAATATAATATAATATAATTTACAGAATGTATTAAAATCAAATATTTTAAGTCAAATGTTTGAAATAATTTATGTTGGATTATTTCGTATAGATGATTTAGAAATAAATAATATAATACCGTATGGATAGCTAAATAATTATCTTTTAAAGCATAACAGTTTTAACTTGAATTATTTTAACTCTGTAAAATATTTTAAAATAGCCTTATCAGAAATTAGGTATTAATTTGGAGGTCTTTGTTCAAATAACGCAATATTATCTAGGTGAGAATTTGGAAAGGTGGGTGACAATTAGCTTTATACAATTATAGAGAGATAAAATAGTTTTAATTAATAAAGGTTTTAGTTTTACCCAATAAAAAGGTAAGATACTATTTAAACTAAATTCGAGTAAAATTATTACTATACAAAAGTACACAAACAGTTTTACAAATATTTTTAGCGTTCACAAAAAATCTTTTTTTTTTAATTAGTAAATTGAAAGTATGTAGTTTAAAATAAAAACATCACCAATATTTTATGGATTTTTAATTTTATGAGGCCTTTCGCCAGCTATGCTCACATCATCAGCCACATCACAAAACTGTTTATGTTTACAACTATAAATTTAAAAAATGTAACGTATGGGTAGTTAAAAATAAAAATTATTCCGTTAAGTACATTTACCTAAAATTACAAAAATAAATTATATAACATTACTATATAATTATATAATATAAATGATTTATATGTAATAAATTTATAAAAGGTAATTATTAAAATTAAGAAGATTGAAAATATGTGTTCTTACGAAGGTGTTAACTAGGATACATACAATACTCTTTTTTTATATCGAATGCTAAATGGATAACTAATTTGACCCTAAGAGTCGTAATATTATAAAAACCACTAATAATTATTTATAAACTTAGTATGTGGTGCAAGAGGTTGGGAAGTTTTTCAAAACACCTTCCACTACTCAAAACTCTATCCCAACCAATATACAATACTCTTCCATTTTTAAAATATCTAGTTTTAAATTAATGTCTTAATATAATACAAATAATTTATACTAATTTATAAAATTAGTATGTATTGTAAGATCTTGGGTAGTTTCTAAACTCATTTCTCAACTCAAACCTCTATACCAATACTATGACAATCTCCTTTTAATCATGTGAATTAAATTTTGCCTTGAACATAAAATGTATTCTACCCTATAGTTTTTTTCGTAAAATCTAATGGTTACCGTTTGTTTCCAAATAGACGTTTTACATCATTTGCAGCCTTTGAATCTTAATTTTAAATACACTAAAACGATTTCTAGTTATTCAAAAAAATGTTTAATAATCTAATTATTATATTCGTCAAGAAAATTATTTAGTAACGTCACCGAAATGTATTAATTCCCAATAATGGCAAGTCCTAAATATGTATTTCAGTTAACACATCCTCTCTCAAACGAGAGTTATTGACTGAAAAGTTAATTAATACTCATACGTGCAATTTATCTGAACAAAGACAAATGTTATAGTGTGAATGTGTAATTGAATCGCATTGTTAAATTGTAAATTGAAAAATCATTTTTGTTTATCATATTTTCATTTGTTACTAACTACTATAACTAGTCTCAAAGTAGTTATAGTGAGTTACAGTGAGTAACTAGTCACTGAATACCTACGTAATATTTATCTATCTAATTACATTTTCAATCGATAGTAAAATACTCCACCAACTCAAGATAAATTAATTTCAAAACTTGCATAAGGTAACAGTTATCGTTAAAAATACATTTGAAAATACCATGGTACCGGAACTTTTTATTGTTATGAAAATTAATAGGAATGAATCTATACATATGATAATTTCTTAAGTATTTTCTTTTGTCGGTAGACCATAATTTCATTATTGTTTCACCAATTTTCATTAATTAGGTGTCATTTTAAAGCGTTTTCCACACAGACCCGGAGAAAGTATACAAATCACTAATTATTCAGTAGTTTTTCGTAAAAAACAATCTATTGTATCATTCTGCAAGTTAAAGTTAAAATGTTTATTTACTTTATTCGACCAGCTGAAACATGTGAATTAATTTAATCAAAACAAACTAACATTTATTTCTAAAACTGAGTCTTTTTTTACTTCATCAATGTTGACCAACATACTTAGTCTATGCTTTCTACAATAAATAGCTCCGTAGATGAAATCAGATTATTCACTTTAAAGAAGTGTAAACAAAAACAAGTCAAAAGTGAGTACCGAATGGATTCTTTGGCTTTTATATTTCTTTATTTACGACATGACCTTCATTTTGACATACCTACCAACCGTTCTATGTATAATTAAGAATTCCATCTTCCAAATATCACCTCTTATATTTTCTTTACTACAGGTTTCAATGAATGGTTTGTTGTGTTAATTTCGTTACCAACAGGTATTGTTCCAGTTTTGATTCGGCTATTTGCCAAGAGACGCTGAACACTCTGTGTATGCATTCGAGTTTTCCTTAGCCCTTTAGGTTAGTTACCTCATAGACCCATGATAAAAAGAACTCTTAAACTGACATACTGAGCAATAGTCCTTTAAAACTGACCAAGAAGGAATTTCCCAAACAAGGTACTTTTTCCACGACTTTAAATAAGGCACATGGACAGACACCAACGAAGGAAGGATAACACGTGTCAGGCCCTGTTTTTTTACACATTCAGTTTTTGTGGCTTTGTCAAGGGTGCTATCTTTCAGTGAAAACTATGTCTGTGTAAAACAAACCCATAAAAAATAGTTTATGGCCATACTATTACTTCTATGGAGTTCAAATAGGTCCTGTAAACATATAAAAACGTAAAAAATTACTATTTTGAAAAGGTTTATCATCTTAAATGTAAAACCACATCTATCGCTGAAGTGGAGACCCATACTTAAAGCAACGATGTACTTACTACGTAGAATTAACTGTATGGATGTTTTGTACCTCAATAAGTAAGATATTAGAAGCATTCAGAGCGAATGGTTTGCACGAGTCGGCTAGTTTTATTTAGGAAAGAAATTTAATATTGACTCTTACCAGTGAAACTAGTAATACCCAGTTATGAGAAATTCGGATTCAAAATGGCGTCACAGCCTGTAGCAGTGACAGAAAGTTTTCACAAGTTTAAAGCACTTTTCACTACTTGCAAAATGACGTCACAGCCTGCAGCAGTTACTGAAAGTTTTCTCTATTCAAAGCAAATATACTATTACCAAAGATATAATTTCAAACCCAACCGAGATAAAAAAAATTCAGTGTAGGTGAATTTTTTTCGTTCAAGGTCAATAAAAAAATCGTAGTTTTAAGCCAAAGGCCCCGGAGTTTAATTTACGTAAACCAATTCAACAAAAAATAGAAGGGAAAATGTTTCAATGTTAAGCATTGCTGCAACGTCTGCATATGAATAAATAAATACATAAACTATATCAAACAATATCCAAATTACAAGGTTATTCTAAATGATGGACCCATTTTTAATGCTTTATAATTTTTATACTATTAAACTTACCGCTATAAAATACACATCAAACGAAAAAGCAACTCAAAGAGTTTATGTCTTCCAAAGACACATCATTTAACAAAATCGATCCAACAGAACTGTAGATTTAATTGTACAAAGTTAAAAAGTAATCTCAAACTTTTTCTACCACTAGAAATTTGGAGGTTACTTGACGTTTTTGCAAATAACTTTTAAATGGTGAGGAAATCGACCAAAGTGGAAGGTAATATTCCGAAAGAGAATAAAATTTCCTACAATCTACTATTACGCATATCTTGAAAATACTCAATAAATGTAGCCTAAATTTGGCTTAAAATAAAAAAGTGTGAAGTTTAATGTTTGCTATGCTTATTGTCTACATTGAAGAGGGGGATTATCAAATTTTTTCATTTTGAGGCAATTTTTGGTACCTTTCTTGAGTATTTTCAAAAAATGCGTAATAGTAGATTGTAGGAAATTTTATTCTCTTTCGGAATAATACCTTCCACTTTAGTCGATTTCCTCACCATTTAAAAGTTATTTGCAAAAACGTCAAGTAACCTCCAAATTTCTAGTGGTAAGAAAAGTTGGAGATTACTTTTTAACTTTGTACAATTAAATCTACAGTTCTGTTGGATCAATTTTGTTAAATGATGTGTCTTTGGAAGGCGTAAACTCTTTGAGTTGCTTTTTCGTTTGATGTGTATTTTATAGCGGTAAGTTTAATAGTTTAAAAGTTATAAAGCGTTAAAACTGGGTCATTCATTTTGAATAACCCTGTATTAACTTCAAATGAATCCTGTAATACATCTAAGCCCTCATGTTTAAATTGATTTTACTAGCCCCATCAGTTTTAAGTAATCATTATAACCGTAAATTTTACTAAAATCGTGTTTGTGGACTAATCCATTTAATGAAAAAGTCTACAATCCGAGTAGGCGACTCTGTTAGCTACGCGACAAAACGTGAAACCTAAATTTCAGGGGTTCGTACGACGAAAAAGTTTTTGCCCGTTCAAAGGGATTGAGCCTGTGACGGGGACATATAATATAAATATTTAAAAGCTAAACCATCTGCTATCACACAATCTATATCCATTAAAAAGACGAAAAGAGGCTACATACCTCGAAAAGAAACTTCAAGAGACTTCTGAAACTTGTTTACATTGTAAATACAGAATTAGCAATTATATTATATGTAGAACTAAAAGTTAGTTAGAGAAATACTTGGGAAAAGAAAACAACTCTATTTCTAACAAATTTACAAAGTATACAAATTCCCATCCGCCCGAATAATTTTTATTAAAATTGTTTCTTGAATTAGAATAGTAATTATAATACCAAAATATATAGTAATGAGTTGCGGAATGTGAAGCCATGCTTTTCCTTTAGTGTTGATGCTTTGTGTTTAAAGACTGTTCTTGGTAGAATTGTAATACTAATTAACACTATTAAGA